TTAGCAGGCAAATGTCTTAGCCACTATGCTACCAGAGCTCGTCAAGGGATAGGGACAGGCAAATCTTAGTTTAGTACAACTGAACTACATCAGCCCTTGTTCTGAAACACTTGTTTTCCTTTAGTGTCTAAAGATATTCTTAGAAGTAAGTTTTGCTGTGTAGGAGTGAAAGGAGATGGATCATCAGTATTTCTTGTAATGCTTATGTTGAGAAGCATTAGCAGGACCAGGGCATTCAGGACCTGTTTAGAAGAATGCTACAATGGGGAAGCAGCCATCATTCACTCTGACAGAGCCAAGCTGGCTGTGACATCAGAAAACATTTCCCTTTCTCCTAGTTATTTATTTCTCTAACCTACAAAAGAAAGATGTGAGATCAGATGCCAGTGGCATGTTAGTGATTTTTATTGAATTTGTCACTGTAATTCTAATTCTTTTCTTTCTTTTTTTTTAAACTTCTACAGGGCAGCCCCTCATCGACTTAAGCTAGTGAAGGTATGTCTGAAGAGGCTTCGAGGCATCAATTTTATAAGTCTCCATTTATAATGGGCTGTAGCCGTAGATCTTCCTCAGGTCCTCAGCATGACAACCTACTGAGGCCTCATTGGTTAGGGGTGTTGTTGTGTCTGGGATCTAAAGTCCCACCAATGGACTTCTCTTCCTCTTTTGATCATGGGGGATCAAAACAAAATGTGAAATTTCTAGGTCCCAAAATTTTCATGAATTGACTATCTTCATTGCCAGTTGAGTTGAAGATACTTTATTTGCTTTTTTTTTGAAGAAGAGGGGTAGGGGAAGAGAATATATTGAGCATGACATGATTACTCCTAAAAGAAGCAACTCTTTTTGTGGTATAGGATAAAGGACACCGATGATCCACTTTTAAAAGATATTTAAGTTCTGGCTTCAGCCCCAGATAAGGTTTTGTGGAGTGGGCTGGTGACCACCTCTTTGCTCTCCTTGCTAAATTGGGCATGATTCCAGTTTGTTGCAACAGCTGCTGAATTTCCAAGCATGAGGAAAATGGCAGGATTTCCATCCAGCCATTCTGACTCACAGCTGCTGGTGCAAGCTGCTTATCTTCTCCCACACTCCAGTTAGGTCATCTCTGGTGCTGGTGACTACGCTGCCTTTCTGATTATTGACCACAGGACCTGGGTCTTTCCTCCCACATGCCAGCTGCCACCTCAGAGCTTTTTCCTGATGTAACAGTATTAGCAGGGCTTATAATCCTGCCGGGCCCAGTATCATCAGCACCTTCTTCATACCCTCCACCTCTTGGCAGGCAGCAAGCTCTCCTGTTTACTCCTTCCATCTTCTCATTGCTGCCTTCTCAGAGCAGCCTCTGTGAAGTAGTGCTAGGATGGCTGCAATTTTGCCAAGGGATGATGTCTATAGAGTTTTAGTTGGCTTTCCACCCTGCTCACAGCTCCTTGAACTTCCCACATGGGATGGTGGTGAAGATGATATCAGGGAGAACATGCACTTTTTTTTCTCTTCCCACTCTTGACAAAGCAGAATTGTATACTATCTGTGTACCCAGAAAGGAGAAGTGTTGTTGGTGTGAAAAGCAGCCAGGTCATCCCTGTGGTAGTTAGGATGGGTGGGGAGGGAGAAGAGCTGGTATGATAGAATTTCTTCCTTCAGACAAGTATCTGAGCACCAACTGCTATAATCATCACATTGCAGCATGACCAAACTTTGTTTCCTTCTTCAGATTTGTGATTTCTTTAAAAAATGAATAAATGAATATAAATAGAAATAGAAATAAATAAATAAATATATAATTAGTTTTCTTTCCCTCCTTCCGTTTCTTTCTCCCTTGTTTTTCATCCATCTACCCATCCATCCATTCATCACTTCAATCATCTAATAACAGCTATTTTCAATTATTTGTTTTCCCACCTCCTCTTTATGTCTCTCTTTATATATAAAGTTTTTACATTACTATGATTGTATCTCTGTGTACTTTTATGTTGTGTTCTTTCATTTAATATTAACATTTTTCTATGTTTTTACAGTCATCATAGTTACCAGTTTATAGGCTGAATCATTTCCCTCATATTTATAGACAAGTATTAACCATTCCACTGCTGTTGGATACATATTCTTTACAAATTCATTTAAAAAAGTATTTCTGCAGAAAAATTTACCCATTTAGGGTTTTCTTCATTTGGATTTTCCCCTAGAGATAAATTCTTAGGAGTAGGATTTGCTGCTGTTACTGTTCTGAGTAATAATGTCAGGTGGTCCTTCAGTCTGTGGTGTCACAAACAACACTTGAATATTCTTATTTCCCTGGATGCTGTGTTTTGGCTAACATTTTGGAGGGAGTTCTGTTTAGTTGCGCATTATTAGTTCAATTTGTGTTTAAAAAGAGATTCAGACATCCACACTGGTGATGTAATAGGGGAAGCCCAGTATTTAGACAGAAGCAGACCCAGCTGTGAATCCCGGTTTTATTTCTAAGCAACTGGGTGTACTTGAATGGGTTGCTTAAACTCTCCCAGGTTCAGTTTCTTTATCTATAATATGGGGATAATACCTACCTTACAGAACTGTTGTGGGGATTAAATGAAGTTTTAAAAGTGCCTATTTGGTAAATTTTGGTTTCCTTTTACTCTTGTCTCTTTTTCTGTCTATTTCATCTAGAATTGTGTCTTTATAGTCTTTTGTCATTTGTTTACTAGGGGTTTGGCAGTGATTTCATGTATTTAAGTGATTTTTTTATTGTGGATTGATAGCAACTCTTTATATGTCCATATTTAATATAAATAGTTTACTATTCTTTGTTTCTCCAACTCTGTTTAGAGTTCGTTTTCAAGGAATTCTTAAAAAAGACATTTATAGTCTTCCTACTGTGTAGCCAGATATTTTACATACGTCGTCTTATGTAATCTTCCCTACAACTCTGAATATAACTATTATTTCTAATTTCTCAGAGTAATATTTACATACTTAAATGGTAAATGACTTGCCCTAGAATTCACAGCTGGCTGTGGCAGAGGCAAGGCTTGGCTCAGGCTATTTTAAGCTCTGTCATGCTGCTTTCTAGCTTTCCCATCAAGTCTGATCTCAAGTTTGAAATCAAACAGTAGATTTCAAAAATGCACCTTTTTCCTACCTATTAAGCCATCAAAGCTAGGGGTATGAATGTGTCAGGGAGGACTGGGAATTAATCAAACTGCCTTTTCTGCTTACATCTTCTAATTGGTAACAACTGTTTTGTCATCTAGGTGCTGAGTGATGGTGGCTTTCATGTGCTGTCTGTTGACTACAGAGGTATGTGTTAGAATGATGTACAAAGATTGTTAATAAGGAGGCTTATGGTGATCCTTCCTAGGTAGTGATACCGTGTTTGCCTTTTTTTGTGCCAGGGTTTGGGGACTCCACGGGTAAGCCCACAGAAGAGGGACTGACCACGGATGCAGTGTATGTCTATGAGTGGACCAAGGCAAAAAGTGGCAGCACCCCTGTGTGTCTTTGGGGCCACTCTCTGGGAACAGGGTAAGTGGAGTCTGAAGATGCTCTGCCTCTGTCTGAGGCAGGCCCCTGGGCCTCTAGCATCACATCAAAGGCAGCAATGAGTAGTGGAAAGAGCACTGAACTAGGAGACTTTGGCCGCTCCTACACCTCACAAGTGGCTGAAGATCTCATGATTTCAGTGTTTCTATTTGTAAAACAAAGGAGAATCTGGTCAGCTCTGTGGTTATCTGTGACACCAAAGGCCATTAAAAAGTTTTCCTTGAGAATTTTAAAGAAAAGAATTGTTAATTTAGGGTCTGTAGAATGTTTTGACCAGAAGGCTAGCAGTTCAAACCCACCAGCCACTCCTCGGAAGGAAGGTTGGGCAATCTACTTCCGTAGTGATACTGCCTCGGAAACCCAAGGAGGGGTCGCTATGAGTTGGGTCCAACTTGATGGCACGTAACAACAACAACAACAACGGAATGTCTTGAGAACCTGTGCAAAATTTTGTATCTAGTGCATTTTCTAAGCAGAGGGTCCTTAGTTTCTGTCATGTGCTCATACTGGATGTTGTATTTTGCACTGTTTACTTAACTGTCAAATTGCTATTTCATGTGTCTACTAATATCTTTACAGAGTTGCAACAAATGCTGCAAAAGTACTAGAAGAGAAAGGTAATATAAAATACTTAAATGGGAAAATTTCTTGGCTTGACATGGAAAATAAAACAGTTAAGAGACTGTTTTGCATACTTTGAACACACAGATACCTAAACATCTCAGCTTTAGACAGTTTCTGGCAGTGTAACATACTTTTTTTTCTCTTTATTTAATATAATAGCTGCTTTTCAAGTTTATAAAATTAAAAATAAATATTAAAAGGGCCTTTTTTTTTTTTAAAAAAAGACAAACCTTTTGATTAAAAAGCTCTTTGAAACAGCCCTCATGAAGCAATAATGAAAATGCTAATACGGACTAATAAAAAGTACAGGAGGGGAAGTACGTTGTGAACTTACAGGCAGGACTTGCTTTCTGCAGCCCTCCTTACATACTATTTGTGTCACTCACTGTTTATCAAAATGTTCTGAGAACTACCTGTGTCAGAATCCCTTGGGAATGTTTTTAAAGACACAAGTTCCTGGATCCTTCCTGGCATCGTGACTTAGATCTCTAAGAATAGGACTAGATAATTTTGATGTGTTAACAGTTTGTAATCTCTCACATTATTTCTTGCACTTCCCTTGGTAATACAGGTCAATCTGAGTCATGTAAATATATTTTGAAACAAGCCACCTGCTATACACAGCTTTAATTACTTAGGTAAATCAGGCAAGCATTATTTCATTCAGTCTCTAAGTTCCCGTAGAGCCTCCACCTCTTGTGCACACCTCCTTCACAATGTTGACAGTGTCACATTGTAAATAAGAACATAAGTCCATTGGCACATTCTTTTATTACTCTGTTTATTCCTACACTCCCCAGTAGCTTGTTAGAGACTCTTTTTATAGTTCTTCTAGCACTTACTCTAGAGATGAACATGTATTCTTGATGAACTAAAGTCTACTATAAATGAGTACTTTAATGTAATTCCATTTATACCCCGAACTTACGAACTCTTACTATCATGTATTTTAAATTTTTTCTATATTATATACTCCACAAATCATTATTATTCTTGTGTAATACCATCATTATTTATTTAGATTTATCCTTTTTTTTTTTTTTTATCTTTATTATGTCCTGTATCTCTGAGCTTCCCTAGGATAATTTTTATTTTACCTGAAAATGTTTTATTTCATCTTCATATCTGAAGGTTATTTCCACTGGGCATAAAATTCTAGCTTGGTGGTAATTTTATTTCAGTACTTTGAAGATGTTATCCGTTGTGTTCTGGCTTCCACTGTTTCTTTAGGAAGTCAACTGTTGCTCCTTTGAAGATAATGTTTATTCTTTCTTCTGGCTATTTTTGACATTTTCTTTTTGCCTTTGGTTTTCAACAGTTTCACAGTGATTTTCTGGTTATTGTTTCTTTATTCTTATCTTGCTTGGTGTTCATAACATATCTGAAGTCTGTGGCTTGACGTTGTTCATTCGTTTTGGAAAATTATTAGCCATTGTATCTTCAAAATACCGTGTCTTCCTGCAAAAAGGGCAAGGAGGCCACATGTTCCGACCTCCTCTAACCTTACAAGAGGAAGACAGGATTACCAGCAGTAACCCAAGGCCATTCCTACAAGGCCAGACATGCTGCCTCCCTCCAGCCCTTTCACCAACCGTTCCTCCCAAAGCACCCACCACCTCTCTCCTGGGTTCGATAATTCGCTGC